CCGTCCTGATAAGGGAAATGAGATTGTGGTAATGAATAGATCGGACTATAATGAGAAATTGACTAGCATAATATTAGACAACACCGTATTCTTCAAATCACTCAACCAGAATGACACAAAGCTAAGAGCAGGAAACCTACTTACAAAATTGCTGAAGAGAATGAAAGAAGGTTAATTCATAGCATTGAGAGAGATATAGAACTGTGTTCTACCTTTATCGATTAAATTCACTAGTATGTTAGCAATACATGATCAATATTCAACACTCAATTCAGTGTCGTACCAAAAATTTTCATTTCCGAAGTATATTTTTTTTCATCGAATGATATTGGATGGCAGAAATATTAAAGACTTGATAAAACTATACGGCTAATCTGATTTAAATTTGAAATTCTTAAGTAAATACTATCAGGTGATAAATGCTTGTGTAATGGTCAGTCCTGCAGACACTTAATCTTGTTCCAATAGGTCATTGTTAAAATCACAGACTTTAGTAAGAAAAGTCAAAACAAATGATTCAGCGAAGAGACTCTTTTCAACGAATTTATCATCAAGCTGTACAATCGTATATATATATATATATATGTATATATATCTACAAGGCAAAGAGTAATTTACCCAAATCCCTACGTACCCGACTCATCTGTATTGCTGAAGCTTTGGCTATCGAAACAGAAAAGCCAGATCTCTGTGTACAGAAAAAAGTTCGTTCAACCCCTGCAACTCTCATGGTCTTAATCCCTCTATGCTAAAGTATGGTAATCCCCAATCATATTTTAGCTCTACCAATTTTTTCATTTTTGTCTATTCAATTTGTATACTCTTCCTTATTAAGTCAATTGTTACTATTACTTTTCTCACTTTTAATTGTTCCCGGTATTATTTCACTTGTTCCACTCGTCATTCTAAATCAATTCCTTTATGCATTATTAAATTCTATGCTATCAAATTTCACACAATATTACGTAAGGTTTTTATTTTTCGATAGGTGAGAAGCCATGGAAATGGGTGTACTGACCCGTCCAAGTTTTCTTTCTAAATAGTTTCCTTTGTAGATACCCATCTGTCTTCATGGTAAAGAGGACGTCTAGGAAAGGTACAAAAGAAACTTAGTTAAGTGTCTAAGCTATAGAATAAAACGTATATGTTCAGAGGAATGCATTAAGGAAGAAATGCATAAACTGAAACTCACACTACAAGAAAATGGATATCCACAGAGCTTCCTAAAAAAGTATATGTCAATACCTACAGACAAGGTAAAGGTGGATACCGTAGAAAAGAAACCTTTGTATCTTAAGTTAAGTTACAAAGGGGAAATTGCAGCTGACATTCTAAAATGTCGACTTAATAGAGCAGTAGATAGAACATTTCCTGCAGCTAAACTGGTACTCAACTTCTCAACTAAACCAGTACTCACACAGCAAGTAAAGGATAAATTACCAAAGATGGCCTCATCAATGTGCATCTATGAATTCAACTGCTCATGTGGAGCTAGTTACATTGGCCGTACTCAGAGGGCTTTATCCATGCGCGCACGTGAACATGTACCTGTATGGTTGAGTAAAGGAGTAACCAAGTGTGTAAATAGTGCAGTCTTAGCCCACTTGGTAGATACTGGACACCAGATAAAACTTGACCAGGCGTTCTCAGTTATTTACCGCGTTCCTAGTAATTTATCTAGAGGAGCTCGACTGCGTCTTCTATCAGTAGCTGAAGTGGTGGCAATTAATACCAGAAGACCATCTCTTTGCATACAGAAGAAGTATGTTCAACCATTATGTTTACCTTGGCCTACAATAAAGCCAACAAATCCTCCATTAACACTATAAATTCCTTTCACAATTTTCTTTTCTTTTCTTCTTCTTCTATTCCTCTGTTTCATTGACAATCGTTCATTTTCGACTTTTATGATTTCATGACCTTTCTTATGATTTTATTACCTTAGGTTTAAGTAGTGCTTTTCTAACTTGCTATCGTATTTACAAAATCCTGTTCATTCCACTTCATTATATTCATTATTATTATTTGACAATCATTCACCAATAGTGCTTGTAATTTTACACCATATCATCGTTATTATTTTACAATCATTCTTATTGTCGTTATTTTCAACCTTGAACTTATGTCTAGTCCGCCCCATTCGTTGGTTTATTTTCATATTGTCTCACACACCCTGATTACACACACTCTCGAAACCTGTATTTCTGTTGACTATATTTATATATATACACACATCATTAAATTAAATTACTTCATCTGATTTTGTCCCATGTTCTCATTGACCATGCATATTAAAAAACTATCTGACTATTGTTCCATCCCATCTTATACTTGTTCCACAATACACTTTCTGATATGATTCTAATTTGCCTTTACTGGCTATTGTATGCTTAAATTAATGGATTTATAATTGTAGAGCCTGAAGAAGAATTTATTGAAAACAATTGTTCGCTCTAAATATTTTGTTCTGTATTAAATTTCACACAATATTAATTAACGTTTTTATTTTATTCAGTTTGTCTACTAATTTTATAATTGCGCACCTTTTTCAAGTTCTATCTATTCTATGAATTATTCTATATATGACATTAATTTGCTTTGCCACTTGACATTTAACTACGATTATAATCACAAACATTTTAGTTTTAATTGCATTTCATATTATTATTATTATTATTTTATGCATTCACACCTATGTTTCAATTACGTCCAACCCCTCTCCCTACCATGGCCATCATAAACAGGTAAAATTTTTTAGTAATGACAATTTTATGCATTCACACCTATGTTTCAATTACCTCACTGGATATAACAGTCAATTTTCTCTGAACTTTTTCCATATTAGTTATTAAAAAGACAATTGCAGCGAAGAAAATTTTCTTTTCGACGAAGTCATCATCTAGGCTGTACATTCGTGTATTTATATCAAATGGATGGGAAAGTTCCAGAATAATTTCCGGTTAAGGGTCAAATTAATAAAAAATTACAATTAGGAATTAGAATGCCATAATAAACAGGGGGACGGATAAAACTCAAACAAAGTAGCATTATAATAACTAAGTAGATTGACATTGTGCAATTGGGGGTTAGAAATGTAGAAATAACAAAATAGACAGGATGTTTGGATATGAAACTAATGTGATGAATAATTGTTTATGCAATCAGGGATTAAATATGTAGAAATAATAAAATGACAAAATAAACAGGAAGAGTGGGTATGAAAATATGGTAGTGTAGACAGGGATTAAGAAAACTTAAAATAATATGAATAAACAGGAAGTTTAAATAAGAAAGGCGATGAGATTGTCATTACTAAAAAATTTTTACCTGTTTATGATGGCCATGGTAGGGAGAGGGGTTGGACGTAATTCTTTTGGATACAAAGCGTGGGTTTGAGCTTTTGGATAGCTAGCGCCTCAGCTATGCCCAGATGTCTTGATTTGACTCCCTTTGATAGGTTTGATTGAATCTTGTATATTACATTGAAGGATTTTTCGAAAGGCGCTGAATGTCCTGAGTTGACCAGATGTTCTGTCACTGAACTGTATACACGTTTTCGGTCTCCTTTTACTAGCCAGGCTGGGTAGTGTTCGCGAGCGCGTTTTCCAAGTCGGTGCGTGGTACGGCCGATGTACTCAGCTCCACAAGAGCAAGTAAACTGGTATATGCACGTTGAGGTGGCCCAGTGCGACAGCTTGTCTTTCACGTTCTGGCTGAACAGTTTCTTGCAAGAAAACGTCAGTCGTAGGCTGAACTAGACTAAACTTAGAGTAAACTTTCTAATCTCCACCTCCCAAGTTGCAATTTTCATAATTCATCGCTATTTTCAAATATCTTAATTATGTAGACAGTATTCTAATAAAGTGAGTAAGTAAGTAAGTAAAATAAGCTTTCCACACCATAACATAATCCACAACTGTTTTTTTAATTGTAATAAGTTTCTTATTCTTTATTAGTGATTCGAACTGCGCTATTGTAGCACGTCATGTTCTCTCAGATTATGACACATTAGGCAATGGGTTCGAGTTACAGTTGCAACTCTCTCTATATCCCAGTTTTTATCTCATGAAGTCTTAGTAATGACGAAATATCTATTTCCTTTTTCTTCAGTTTGATTACTATTCGATATAAATTGTTTATTTTACTTAAGGTGATTTGTTTTACCTATTGGTCTTCTTTCACTATATATATATATATGTACGGAATACTTATTGATCGATTGCAATGCTTCTAGAAATGAAAAGGTTATTTCTACTATTCAGTTAACCAGATTATCTGAGTTTTAGGATTTGCATATATATATATATATATATATACATGCGTATGCATATACATGTTAGTTATCTAAAATTCTGTGCAAACTAGTAAAATATAAGAAAAAAAACAGCAGTGGTTACAAAGATTATGCAGAAATAAACAAACAAACAAACGAAAGTAAATAAAATGAACATCTAGAAATTTTCCATCTTTCTGCAGGCCTTTACTTCTTGTTCATAGAAGATTGACTTACATATGTAATAAAATATTAAAGTTGTCATAAAGTTCAAGAGATCAGTTCAGTATGTAATATGTGAACTTGTTTATTTGCAAATAATCTGAGGCATCCCTGGATTAATGTGTACTGAGAGTATTTGCTTAACTTATTAACAAAATATAGTTAGTACGTTAATCTTTGGTCTTCAAAGAGAATGGTTATCCACAAAATTTCATCAAAAAGTGTTTGAATTCGAATCAAAACATCAACAAAAAACCATCATCAAAGACCATAAGAAAATTCATCCTACCATACATGAGAAATATCTCTGAAATAACAGCTAGAATACTGAAACCGTTTGATATAAATATAGCACACAAGCCAGTCAAATCGCTTAATTCGATATTATGCAAACCAAAAGATCCAACAGAAAAAGGGGATAAAATTAATACCATTTACAAAATAAATTGTATGAAATGCAACTGTGGTGAAAGATGGTCGCTAGCCAAATTGGTTTACAGTAATTGAGGTCAAAGGTCAAGGTGGATAGGCGAATACAGTTAACATATAGTTGAACTGACACAGCCACAAGATATGCAAGGTTAACTTTGTGTGAGAAGCAACCAATCAACAGACTGTATTTTCCACTAACATTGACCTACAATAATGTACATAAAAATCTATAAATACGTGTTGATTTTTCGTAATAAACGATCTGTTGCCTGGTCCTTGTCTTCTGTTGTTACATTTGGTGTCGCTGCCTACCGACGAATGGAAAGCCTATGCCCTGCAGTTTTTGATGGAGACATATGGATCTTCGGGCAGGACTTCGAGGCTTCTTCGCAGTTGAGTGGCGTTCAAGATCTGTCAGCGATGAGGCTGCTACTTGGGACGCTGCTGGGAGGTCGGGAGAAAGCAGCATATGGAAGTGTGAGGCGAAATACCTACGAATGTGCGACAGGGTCAGGCAAACAGTTTCCAAAGTGGGAAGGACCATATATGGTCACGTTGAGATGGGGTTATGCAGACACAATCGCAATGGCAAACACAGAGAAGCAAGTGAACATCCGCAAGCGCCGAGATTTCAGACAGCAAGACAAAAGAGAAAAGCCCCAAGAACCAAGAAGACCGAACCAACTTCAGTCCAAACTATTTGACGGGGGGACGAGTGTGGTGAAAGATGGTCGCTAGCCAAATTGGTTTACAGTAATTGAGGTCAAAGGTCAAGGTGGACAGGCGAATACAGTTAACATATAGTTGAACTGACACAGCCACAAGATATGCAAGGTTAACTTTGTGTGAGAAGCAACCAATCAACAGACTGTATTTTCCACTAACATTGACCTACAATAATGTACATAAAAATCTATAAATACGTGTTGATTTTTCGTAATAAACGACCTGTTGCCTGGCCCTTGTCTTCTGTTGTTACACAACAAGCATTACATCGGCCAAAGTGGGCGTCCCCTTCGAATCAGAATCCAAGAACACAAATCAGCCCTGAAAAGACACGATATGTATTCTTTAGTACCAATGCATATAGACAATTATGGACATCAATTTGATTGGGATAATGTCAAAATCTCAGATAGAGGAAACACCAAAAGTGCCAGGGAATTCCTAGAAGCCTGGTACTCAAAAGAAAATGCAATTAACAAGCACGTTAATATAGATGAAATATACCAATTAATAAAAAGTAAATCAGGTGACCAGAAAGTTTGAAATCCAAGTCAATAGAAAATGGTCAATGCATATGTAAAGATGGTTACCGGGAGACGCAATTGTATCACTCATGAATAAATTTAAATGATTTCACTTTGTGCTAAATATTGCGCTGAAGGGGGATGTTGCCCAGAAGGACGACGAAAGCTCCGCAACTAAACCAACCAGCTCAGAGAACACTATTAATTACAAATACGTTAATCTTCCTCTTTTTTTAAAGAGGTGATCACAAACTGAGATATAAGTTAAAGAGAACCACTGGGAAAATGAACAGCACTGAAACATTATTTCATCCTAGTGTGGGACTCTTTTGTCAGTACGCGACCATGACCCACCGGCGTTTGAACCCAGTTTAACAACTAAAACAGATGTGTTGTGGTCTGAACGCAGGGTACCAATCCTTCCGTTCTACTGTATAGCTAACCAGAGCTTCTTTGAGTTACGCGCAGTACAAAAATATCCCGACGATAGTGAGAAGACAGTTATTTACAATAAGATCTAGAGTAGTATTCAACAATCATATGATATCAAGCTCAAGATTACTTCAACAATGCTATTAGGCAGCTATACAGATCTAACTAACAGTTTCTCGAGAACAAAACAAGTAATAAGAACTAAGAAGAATATTTCCAACAAGATGGGGTCAAAACTCTGTCAGCGGAAACCATGCACCAAATAACTCTTACAGACAATCCAAGGTCATAATGACTCACTCAAACAAAATCTCAGTTGTAAAATAACGCATTATCAATATCTTCACACATTCTACGCATCGTCATCGAAAAAAGCATGGAATAGTAATCAAACCTCTACTTCAACTTTATAAACTTTGAGAAGGCCTTCGACAGCGTTGACCGCAAAGTAATTTGGAAACTACTCAAGTACTACGGCGTACCCCAAATATTCATCAACCTTATTCAACAGCTGTACCACAACGGTACATGTCAAGTGATCCACAACGGAAAACTCAGCGACTCGTTTGGAGCAAACACAGGAGTCAGACAAGTGTGCTTATTATCACCAATGATATTCCTAATTGTGGTGGACTGGATCATGCGTCAGACAGTGGGAAACGAGAAGACAGGAGTATCCTGGACCGACGTGAAGAATCTAGAAGACCTGGATTTCGCGCGTAGATGATTTATGTTTGATGTCAAACAAAATCGAAGAATTACAAGCGAAAACCGACAAACTGGTCGAAGAAGCAGCAAAGACAGGACTCCAGGTGAACATAGACAAGACGGAGGTTATGAAAATAACCAACCAACCAACAACAACAACAGCAGCAACATCCAGCGCCAATCACCATCAGCGGGAGGGATTTGAAAGAGGTTACTTCATTCACTTATCTAGGGAGCATTGTCTCAACTACAGGAGGAACGGACGAGGATGTCAAATCGAGAATCGGGAAGGCGAGAAACACATTCATCAACCTGAAGCCAATCTGGAAATCTTCGTCACTCAGCCTGCATCAACAACAAAATTCGGATTTTCAATACAAACGTCAAGTCAGTCAGTTCTTCTATACGGATCAGAAACTTGGCCAGTGTGTCACAAAGAATATTTCCAACAGCCTGTTGCAGACATTTATCAACAGCTGTCTTCGTTCTTTACTGAAGATCAGATGGCCGGAAAGAATCATCAACAAGAAACTATGGGAACAAACAAAACAAGAACCGATCGGCTAACAAATATGCAGGAGAACGTGGAGATGGATTGGACACTCGCTGAGGAGGCCACTCGCTGGGCGACATCGCGCCTTAGGCCAGTGCTCGAGTGGAACCCGAAAGGGAAGCGGCGAGTGGGATGTCCAAGGGTGACATGGAGGAGATGGTGTGAAGAGGAGCTGAAACAGTGTGGACTAACATGGGTGCAGGTAAAAAATGCAGCAGAAGACAGAAAAAAGTGGAGACGTGCAGTTGAAGCCCATTGTTCCACTAGGAACCCAAAGGATTAATAATAATATCTTCACACAGCCATGAAGAGAAGCACTGAATTTAGGGATTAAACAAGAACAGTGACAATAAGAATTAAGTCAACAGGTTATATGCAAAAGCTAGAACAATGATACACAGTCTAGCAGAAAGAAGGATTATAATTACAAAGTTATTTGGAATGTCTAAATAAGTAGCATTATCGTATACGCATCGTTCAAGAGGGATGTTCCATACTGTTATTCCCTTACACCCAAGACATTCCGTTTGCAAGGCCAGTTCATAGACCATTCAATCCCTGTAACCCAATCACATAGTCTATGAATTCCAACTTCTATCAATTTACATATAAGTAATGTTTATTTGCTATTTGGTGTCTCTGTGTAGCCAAACTATGTACACTTTTTCTTTAACGCACCATTTGCGCACAGATTTTCCATGTTGTTCTACCTCTGGCCTTCCTTCATATTGTGTTTCTTTGTGTTCCTTTCACATCTCTCATGTATCTCTGCAACTCTGTATCATTTGCTTTCTCTGACGTCAAATCTATCTCCCTGCTATTTGAAGTTTTTATGCCAGTTAACATCTCATTTTATATACACTACTGATAAATCTTATCAGTAGCATACGCTACCACTAGTTTCTGTGACAAACGAATTTCATTTTTTGACATAATAAAATTGATAAATTTGTAGTGAAATGTCTCATTTTTCTAACAGCATAATTTGAGCATTGATCAATTTGAATTTAGTAAATAATCGATTTCATCAGTGGTAAATTTTATGTCTACCAATCGCTGAGTTTTTTGAATTCATTTCTTGTCGGTAAGCGTTTTACCTCTCTTCTTGTCATAGACATATGTTACCTTCAGTAGAAATCCTTGATGATTAGTGTTAGTTGAAATAGTACTAGGTTGGGAAAGAGTTAGAGATTATCAAACCATTTCTCTGAAAGCCTGAACCACCTCGAACATTTCTAATAAGTTTATGACGTCAATTGATGTAACCTCACTGTTCGTAAGAATTCCAGTTAGTGAAACTAAAGATATCATCTGTCAGCATTCTGATCTTCTCTCACTCCCAATGCTGGAATCTAAACGCTTACTACTAATGTGTACCATGGTTTTACCATTTCTCATATTATGAATTAAAAGTCAACTGGAACGAAGAATATTCTTTTCAATAATTTCTCCTCTTCAGGTTCTTACAATTATAAAATATAATATTTGTTGTCGTTACAATAAAGGTCAGTTATGTGGCAGACACATTTTTAATGAAGAATAACAGATTAGTTATGGGGTGATCAAGAAAACGTTCTACTCTGCACGTCTGTGTCTATCCTTCAGTAGCCGTCCAATGTTCGCCCAGCAACTCAAAGATGTCTTACCTAGGCTTAGCTCTTCTTCATGCATATACCATTTCAACTGTTCCTGTGGTTCAAGTTATATAGGGCGCACGATTAGGTAGGTTCGTCTACGGGTTCGAGAACACTTACCAGCTTGGCTCAGCAGGGGGAAATTAAGTGCATAAAAAGCTCGATCCTGTCACACTTGGTCGATACTGGACATCATATCGATGTCAACACAGCTTTCAGGGTTATATACCGAATTCCGAAGTCGTTATCACGTACAGTTCGCTTACGTCTTCTACACATAGCTGAAGCTGTTACAATAAGATCGACTAAACCGGAACTTTGTATCCAAAAAGAACACGTCCAGACGCTGTTCCTACCGTGGCCAAACTTGGATTGATGATTCTTCTTCTCACCAAGAGTGCTCCTTCCCCTTAACCCTCTTGGCTCTTTCTTTTTTTCCTTTGCTTATTATTACAAATATATTATTATTACAATTATTATTATTATTATTAATATTATTATTATTCGTCATAATTTATGCCCTTCATGCAAACATTCTCTCAATACTATCGAATTTTTCGTTTATACTATCCGGACTTATTATTAGTAATATTATCTTTTTTCTCAATATATGCCTCCACCTGTTTCATTTCACATATTCGTTATTTCATCATGAACCTCTCATTGCAGTCTTACTATCTCCTGTTTAACACAGACCACTTTGTACTAGCCACTCACCTGACACCTTTTATAACCTTGAACTGACTTGTCAATTTTCCTACCCCACACTCTACAAATCTATTATGATTAATCACCACTGTCTCCCGTTTTACAATATTTTGTAATCGAATTCAGCCTAGCACGTTTGTCACACAAATACGACTATTTATTTTGACATCCCATAACTAATCTGTTATTCTACGTTAAAAATGTATCCGCCACATAACTGGCCTTTATTGTAACGACAACAAATATTATATTTTATAATTGTAAGAACCTGAAGAGGAGAAATTATTGAAAAGAATATTCTTCGTTCAGATTGACTTTTACCATTTCGGTTTGACAATACTTTCTACTGTCAAACAGATGGTAGAGCAATTGACAGTTCACAAAGTCCTGTATTAGCAGACATCTTCATGTCTAGCCTTGAGAGAAAAAAACTGAAGCATGCACTCGACGAAACTACCTCTTATTGTCGATATGTCGATGACACATTTGTAATATGCATCAGTGAAAGTCATGCATCCTACCTATACGGACTAGCCGATGATACAGATGCAAATATTGACTTCACTATGGAAAATGACATTAATGAGAAGTTCCATTTCCTTGGTATTGTCACGCAACGCCTGGAAGATGGTA